TAAAAATGGGAAAGCCCTTGGTGTACAATTATCTAAGTAATAAAAAATTTAAGTAATTTAAAAAAATTTAATAAATTAGATAACTTTAACAATTCATAAACATCAAAATATAATAAAGAATAAAATGAAAAAAATAGGATCTAAAAGATATAAAAAATTAATAAATATTAAATATTATAAATTTTAAAGCATAGTGTTATTCTATCATTTCAGATAACAGATAATTAATTTTATAACTCAGTTATTAAATTAAGAAGTGAATTATTGAGATAAAATTATATTTCAGTTGTAAAAATGTAATACCTGAGTGAGAGAGAAGTTATAATAATTAATAATTTTTTATTAATTATTATTAATAATTTAAGATAAATATTAATATAATTAATAATAGAATTTATAATTAATATAATAATTAATAATATTACATCTCAGTTATTTAATTAAAAATTGTAATAACTGATAATATAGTAATTAATAAAATTATTTATCATAATTATCTACCATTATAGAGGTAACTACATAATTTAAAAAATTTTATAGTATTTTATTTTTAAATTATTATAAGAAAACATCTTCAAAATTACAGTTAAAAAAATCAGTAAAATATTAGATAATTGCCTGAAATATTTTAAATTTTAGACATTACTTAGTAGTTAAAAATTCAATAGCAAACCATTATTACTTAGAATTCGAAAAATTGTATCAGCTCTGGTCCACCATACTAAACCTGTCAACACACAGCCATCAAATTATCGATGGAGACTCGAGAAAATTCAAGACTCCGTAGTGAAGAAATGCTTGTCTAGAAAATTTCATAGTGTAAGTAAGTGATGTTTGTTTTAAAACAGATTAATTAAACTTTAAATTTGCTAATTTTACGAAAGTAACGTTTCAAAAATCTATATGTTATTTTAGGCGGTTTTTTTAAAACAAAAAATTATTTTTGTTTACATTTCTCTATAAAAAAAAGTTAAACATGGCCGTTTCAATTAGTTTTTCAGAAGAATCGATTAAAATCATTATAATTTCTAGTTGAAATACAGTACAGTGTTTTGTTTTCTGGAATTAGAAAATTGAACCCTTTAGCTTTCAATTGAAGCTTGGGGGAAGCTTCAAAAATGATTTTTTATTTATGAAAAATACATTTAAACCTTGGGTATCAAATTTTTTTGGAGGTGCCTAGTCAAAAGTGATTACAAAGAAAAAAATTTTCTTCACTATTTATGAAAATATTCATAATTATCTCTGGGGTGTGTTGACCATGTTTGCCGCAGTCTCTGAATGTGGAATCCAGTGAAGTCTGTAATCTGTTCAATGTCAGAGGTCGGCAGTGAAGATTCAGAGAAAGCGGTTAAGTAATTCTTTAAGTCTTCGATATCAGGTTGGCAGTGCAGACAATTTAGGAGAAAAAAAATGGCTGCCTTTATACACGTCACATTGAATATTTTGAGCTTTCTGATTGGTTAACCCTTCTATTGGTGAACTATAAAATGAGTCAGCTTTTTTAGGCTAGCACACTAGTACACACATATACATAAAAAACTGCAACAGGGTGGGGAGAATTTAAATTTTTCACTATGACAGAAAAATCAAAGTTTCACTTTTGGCCATTATTCATATGCTTATAAAAATGCATCCACTATCTACATTATCAGTTAAATAAATCACTAGTATGCACGCTTGCGCGCACACACACACACACACACACACACACATTCCTCCTCCCCTCTACAAAAAAAAAAATGGCTCAAAAAGTATGCCCTTGGTTGGGCTTTGTATGCAAAGTTGAAGTATCTGGCAGTCTAATATTTATCTAGATACTGTACACTGCCAAGACTTGTACTTAACCTAACTCTAATAATAAATGTAAATTTGGGGTCTTATGCTATCAAATAGCAACAGTAAGTAAGTTTGGTCTGTATAATAATATATATATATATATATATATATATATATATATATATATATATATATATATATATATATATATATAATCTCACAAGTATGATATACATCCCCAATATCAAAAGTGTCTGCTGAAAAGCTGTTATAAAAGCCCAAATCCAGCTCTTAACAACATTTAATAATATGGCTACAATGTACTGGCTGTCTTTGGGAATTAAAAACATTTAACTTTCAGCAACTCATACACTATTTAGAATAACACAACCAAAATCCTTGAACATTACTAATAGATGAATTGAAAACACTTGGAACAATCATTTGGGCAATTTTTACACTCAGTCCCCCAAAAATCTTTTGATTGCATATTAAAAAAGAAAAATCGACAAAAGTAGCTTGTCAGTCATTTTTTAATGAAATATGTGCTCTAGAGTTATTGCTTGCCAAATATGTAAGTGTTATATGCACATTAACATAAATGGGACATATCACAAATACAGAGAACAAAACCTTTTTGTTATAAGCTTATTGAAGTGTTGGCTTTTGCTAGACACCTGTGTAAAGAAAAGTTCTCGGAAATTAGTTGCTGATGAACTGCTAGCTTATAATCATCATTTAAGATGTTTATACAATCAAAGAAGTATATATGTCCCTTATAATGACATGTCTATTTAAAAATGAGACTTTTGCATTTATTTGATCTTCCTTAAAATCCTCTGGATGTGGAGATATATAATATTCTTTACAGGAAGTTAATTCCCTTGGATTATTTATAGAAAAGCAACAGAGACTGAAGCACCTACCCCAACCTAATACCTGATATCTTAGATTAAAATTCATTTGAAAATTTGGCAAAGTTTTTGCTTCTTGTCTGTCTTTTTATCTTTGTACACAGTTAACATTTAAAAATGAATTCTTGAGGCAAACAAATATTTAGAAATCACTACATTAACAGGGTTGAATTAACATAAGATTGCTCTTTGGATAGTTTGTGGAAAATGATTTCATGTATAACGCACACACACACACTTTTCAACATTAAAACACTAGATCTTGAAAAAAAAAATTCTTTTGCTCCATTTTAGTATGAGGAAAATAACCTAGAATAGAATAGAGCTGGAATCCAATTCAAAATGTTCATTATCAATTCAATATAATATCAATCAGCTCAGTGACAAATTTCATATATATATATAAGTTTTTAGATGTAATATTGTTGGTGAAAGTGTTAAATATCCAGAATAGTGTGTGTAAATATAAGAGTGGACATTGTGGTCAACACCAAGTGGTGACAATTTACTTTATGCTTGAATGCAATCTTCAAGCTATATACACACACACACACACACACACACACACACACACACACACACACACACACACAACCTCACTCAAGGTCAAATTTGGGAAATTCTTTTATTCAAAGTTTTGGAATTGGATTCCAGCTCTGTTCTATCTGGTTTTTCTAACTGGGTTTACCTGACAAGATTATTGAGCAATTTGTATGTTAAGTCGTCGTAGGTCCTTTTAATGTTTTTTATTTTCCCTTTCTCTTTAGTCATGTCTGAGACAGTAATTTCCAAGCATTTAATAGATTTTGTTTTTCATCTGACATTATTTCCTATTACTTTAAACATTATTATTAATTTTTTTTTTTTTTTTTTTTTATGGACACATTTTGTTTAAGTAGACACCCTACAAAGTCAGCAGATATGAACTTTCAAGATCTGAATGAGATGCATTCTTTAAAAGGTTAATTTGACCTTGCTGGACTTTGTCACTCATTTCCCCTACAATCCTAATCTTTTTTTTTTTTTTTTTTTTTTTTTTTTGGCACTTTTGTCTTGTGGGCATTGTTTGTTTGTGTGTGTATATTATGTACATATCAGTTACCCACATTGTAATATCTTAAGCTATTTGAACGGGTATAAAATGTCCTTTTTTTTTTTTTTTTTTTAAGAACAAAGTTGCTGAGTGTCTGATGAGTGTATGCAAATGCATAAAACTAGTAGTAGTTGTTGGTCAATGTAGACCGGAAATGACATTAAAGCTCTGCCATTAAGTATAGTTTTCAGCTCTTTTTTTCTCTTGCGTGTCCTTATAGCATACTCTCTTAGGAGTTGCTTATTTTATAAATCTCTATCTATAAATAAGAAATATATATATATGTTAGAGATAATAAATCCATTGTTATATAATCCATGTGGATCCTAGTAATATAAAATATTAAAACTGATCCACAAAAAGAGCTCAATGTTATTATAACGGAGCATATAAATAGTATTACACAATAAAATCCAAAATTACCTCATATGGGGAGTGGGGGAGATCTATTTTAATCAAGGAAACTACGTCAGTCTTATTCAGCTCCTGTGTATAGAAACTTTGACAACTGTCAAATTTAGATTTTTAATTCCGACATGAACACATTTTATATGCTGGGGTTGAATAAGACTGTTGTAGTTTTTTGGTTGAAATAGATCTATCCTCCCACCCACATGAGGTAATTTTTGTTTTTGTTGTGTAATATATAAGTGAACATTGAAGTCAACACTTAGAGGCAACAGGTTGTTTCATGCTAGATGCAATCGTCAGGCCATAGTTTTTAGATTGTTAGTGTTGGTAATAAAGTTCTCTTGAAAGAAGAGAGAACTGATCCACCAACATGATCATAGTTTATTAAAACACATTCATCTTCCTCTTCCCATTTAGGTTCCTTTGGCATATTAGTAAGATATTTTTGGATTCAAATAATTAATCTATAAACACTGCAATGTTTCCTCCACCCACTCCTCTCAGCATAAATAGGTGATATTATATTTTTTTTTTCCCCCCTCTAATTTTGAGTCTCAAAATCCTATTAATCATCAATGTATTGGAATATTTGTAAATCTTCTGTGATATTTTTTTTTTTTTTTTTTCTTTCAGCCACTCAGCTTTGGAGAACCAAAATTGCTCGAATTGCTGCTGAATATAGAGAAATTACATTTGCCATTGCAAATGAAGAGGACTATCCGAATTTAATGGCTGACTTTGGATTTGATGAATCAGGAGAAGAAATGCACATAGGCATTTTAACAGGGAGCAAACGCTTTTCTATGGAACCAATAGAAGAATTTGATAGTGGAGCAATCAGGAAATTTTTAAGTGATTTTAGAGGAAGTAAGTAAAAATGGAACTTGTACCATTTGATAGATTTTTGCTTCTGTTGTGGACTTTTCAAATTTTACACTTTAACTGCAAAGTTACATGTTTAGCACCAAGAACTTTTAATATAAGTATAGTTATTCTAAAAAGAATAAATATTGTGTTTATTGGTTATTTTACAACATCTTAAATTGCTAAAATTCCACCCTTATTGCAATAAAATGCTGTTAACATAATTTGACTTGTATGATAGCTCCGCTTACTAGTTTATTGTCTTGTCTTTATATCCAGTATGTCATCACGACATGCTTATTTGGTTAGTTGCTTTTAGTTTTAGTGTCTTACCTCATTTAGAAGATTTCTATAATTCATCTCCCACTCATTCTCTTGGCCTTGTGCCACACAGTGCTAAGTTTATTAAATATGTCATGTTAAATACTTGAAATTAATTACTGCAGAAAGTTACTAGCATTATGGTTTCATAGTTCTGTGTTGATATTAAACATAATAGCCACATCCTACCAGCCACACTTGTATTCACTTAAAATTTTTGTTCTGGATTTGTACTGAAACTTGATTTAAAACAAAGTTGAGATTAAAGAAAATGTCTTTTTTTTTTTTTTTTTTTTTTTTTAAAAAAACAAAATCTGTTTTAACTCTCAAATTTCTCTTTATCACCAGAAATATTTCCATTGTTAAATGAAGAAAATATTGAAGTTGGGGTGGGGAAATGTTGGAGTCTTAGAGTTTGTGCCAGCTGGGGAGGAGGTGTAGTTTTAGAATTTGTGCCATGCTTCTAAACAACTTTCCAAAACTGGACATCTACAAAAAAAAAAAAAATTTAAAAAAGATTACAATTATGACCATTTATTTTATTTTGATTATAGATACCCCACCCCCAAAAATGGTGGGAAGTGACAACAAGATAAGGAAAAAACATTTAAAAATTAGAAAAAGCTTTACTAAATCAATTTCAGAAAAACAATATAGGCACTATGAAAAAAATATCCCCTAACAGTAAGTAAATGTCCTGTAAAACTAAGTGGAATGAGTGGAAAAATAGCACAATGAATTTTGTATGTTGCTTCATGTAAATGTCTCATTCTCTACAAAAAAAAATAAACTGCTAATATCATTCCAGATGTAATATAAAGGAATGAATGCAAATTTGATGCATATCACAAATTGTATAAACAGTGGGTTTATATATAAATTTTCACATTTATGAATTACTTTTTTTAATTTCTTTTCAAAGAAATCTAATTTTTACATTTTTTTTCTTTTCTTCAGACAAACTCAAGCCACACATAAAATCACAACCAATCCCAAAGCAAAAGAAAGGTCCCGTTACAGTTGTTGTGGCTAATAACTTTGACCAGATTGTCCTGGACAAAACAAAAGATGTTCTTATTGAATTCTATGCACCATGGTGTGGACACTGTCAAAAATTAGAACCCAAATACAAAAAGTTGGCCAAAAATATGAATAAATACCCTGATGTTGTTGTTGCTAAAATGGATGCCACTGCAAATGATGTTCCTACTGACTTCAAAGTTGACGGTTTCCCCACAATTTATTTTGTCCCTTCAAATAATAAGGAAAATCCAATAAAATATGAAGGTGATCGAGAAGTAAAGACCCTTACCAAGTTTATTAAGGAACATGCAACAGTTTCATTGAGCAAAGAAGAATTATAGATATTTTTCAAATTTGGCTTGGGTGTAATATCTGCTACAGACAAGTCACTATCAAAGCTGATATTAAGAAATTTAAAGATGAATAGTGACAACTCCTTTCGAAATGCATTATCAACATGATGAAATTAATAATCTGGATCCAAAAATGAAGTCATTAAGTTGATCTTTGGTAATGTGACTGTTAAAGTCTAGTGTTTTATATCAATTTTATATGGATGCCAACAACACATTGCTGACTCTTTCAAAAAATGACAGTCGATAATTATTGACATGTGATTATTAAGACTACTATGCAAACCATTCTTTCTTTCTTTATTTGCTCACCTAACTTCAGATGAAAACACAGATTCATTACTTTAAAATTCTATCAAAATATTTGCTTTTGGTGTTTACATACATCTGTTGTAGAAAAACCATTTATTTTTAATTTTAATTTTTTTTTTTTTATGTGATTAAGATTTGATCCAAGTTGTTAATAAAACATTGGTTTGTCTATTTTAAACAGCTGATGCTACACCTGACCCAACATAATCTTTTTTTTTTTCTTAAGTTACTATTAACTTTACCAGTAAGTATCTCATTTTAATACAGGCTATAAAATATATATGCAAATACATTTAATTATTATTTTTTTCTGCTAATTGGCTAAAATTTCTTCAAATTAATATGCATTTATTATTATTTTTTAAAAACTTAAAATTATATTTTTACGAGACATAAAAAGGTGTTCATTTGGGTATTTTTATAAAATTTTTCATTGTCGTTTTCTAATTTTGGCCTTAAAGGGAAGTTAAAGTTAGAATAAAGCGTGAAAGAGAAAATAAATGAAAGGAAATTTGATTGGAAGAAAGAATGATTTTTCATTGAAAGAATGAAATTTAAAAATAATACATTTATATTCTATCTTAAGGTATTTGTTTTCTTTTTATATTTTTAATCACTGTGTTCACAATCTAAATTGATTTTACAATGAATCAAGATCTAGATATGAAAATAAAGAATTTTAAATTGAAAGAAAAATAATAGGATAATATGAATTGCAAACAAAAAGATATTCAATTCAAAATCAAAGATTTACACCTTTTCATCCCCCCACCCTCCAAATACTTTCAGGTAAAGTTAATATTGAAATGTTATGGAAATTAAGAAAAACGCATTCAACTTTCACTCACTCAATCTATCTTGTTTATTACTTCATGAGATGAAGGGGAGGTTGTATATTGGGTGTTGCCTGTGAACAGACTGATGGGCCTGCTCAAGAAGAGGCTGACTCCTGAACAGACTGATGGGCCTGCTCAAGAAGAGGCTGACTCCTGAACAGACTGATGGGCCTGCTCAAGAAGAGGCTGACTCCTGAACAGACTGATGGGCCTGCTCAAGAAGGCTGACTCCTGAACAGACTGATGGGCCTGCTCAAGAAGAGGCTGCTGACTCCTGAACAGACTGATGGGCCTGCTCAAGAAGAGGCTGACTCCTGAACAGACTGGATGGGCCTGCTCAAGAAGAGGCTGACTCCCTGAACAGACTGATGGGCCTGCTCAAGAGGCTGACTCCTGAACAGACTGATGGGCCTGCTCAAGAAGAGGCTGACTCCTGAACAGACTGATGGGGGCTCCTGACTCCTGAACAGAGATGGGCCTGAGGCTGACTCCTGAACAGACTGATGGGCCTGCTCAAGAAGAGGCTGACTCCTGAACAGACTGATGGGCCTGCTCAGAAGAGGCTGACTCCTGAACAGACTGATGGGCCTGCTCAAGAAGAGGCTGACTCCTGAACAGACTGATGGGCCTGCTCAAGAAGAGGCTGACTCCTGAACAGACTGATGGGGCCTGCTCAAGAAGAGGCTGACTCCTGAACAGACTGATGGGCCTGCTCAAGAAGAGGCTGACTCCTGAACAGACTGATGGGCCTGCTCAGAAGAGGCTGACTCCTGAACAGACTGATGGGCCTGCTCAAGAAGAGGCTGACTCCTGAACAGACTGATGGGCCTGCTCAAGAAGAGGCTGACTCCTGAACAGACTGATGGGCCTGCTCAAGAAGAGGCTGACTCCTGAACAGACTGATGGGCCTGCTCAAGAAGAGGCTGACTCCTGAACAGACTGATGGGCCTGCTCAAGAAGAGGCTGACTCCCTGAACAGACTGATGGGCCTGCTCAAGAAGAGGCTGACTCCTGAACAGACTGATGGGCCTGCTCAAGAAGAGGCTGACTCCATTGCTTTTCAAGAATCTCTTACTGTTACAGAACATCTCCATTACTATTCTGCTTCTGCTCCCTTTCATTTGCAGCATTTTTGCTTTGCATCTTGACATTTATCTTTATGTATCATTAACAGAGAAATAGAAATTGTTTGGGGGGGGGGGGAATTGTTGTTGAAAAGAAGTGGGATTAACAATTTCTTTCTTGATATGATAGCCATTGTTTAGGGACCAAAAAAAAAACAACAAAAAAAAAACAACAATGTTATTTAGGTTGTGAATTTTAAATAAAGAATTTAAAAATATATTTTTTTTCAGTCTTATAATTTTTTCTTTTTTTTCCTGAAAATATTTAGGACAGATATCATTATTCTTTGTTCCTGGACGTGAGTAGTTATAACTTTTTACAATTTAGTCCTTTGTAACTTTAAGCAGCTCCTCACCACTCAGCTTCATTTCTCCCAGTCACTGTTCTGCTGTTCATTTAGACAAACTTGTTAGGTACATTACTTTATAATATCCTTCTGCTACTCAGTAAATCCTATAAGTATCAAATTCTTCAAAATCCCATTCATCATTGTCTCAGAAATTTCAACAATCTCTGTCCATTCTAATTTTAATTGAAGCTTCCTTGTTGCTCACAGGTTTTGCCCATGATATTCTCAACATCTTTTTGTAGAACTACATCCCTGTGTGTGTGTGTGTGTGTGTGTGTGTGTGTGTTTTTTTTTTTTTTTTTAATAGCATATTATCCCAAGCAAAGCGTGCGTGCCATTAGCATGCTAGGGGTTGCAGAGAGCAAAAGAGGAATGTTTGAAGAAAGGATAAAGAGAAAGACAGGGATCAAGGTCAAGGCATCAGAAGATGTTGATTGACATTACATTTGAATATTTGAAGATTATAGCTATCAATGAAGCAAGCAAGTGAGTGGAAGGAAGTTACACTGTCAGGAAGTGCTAGATAAACTGTTGCAGTAGAAGAAATGGCTACATTTAACCATTTTGAAAGGGTGAGACCAACCTAGTGGATTGTTTAAATTCATGCAGTCTGGAAACCAGCAAAAGTAGCTTGTTGGAACACTTGCTATGAAAATACTTCTAGAAAAGACAGGGATGCCACAGAATGTCTGTGAAAGTGATTAGACAAGATGCCAGATCAGGATCTATAAGTCTCCCTCTTCATGCCTGAAGAAATTGTTCAGTATTCACTGACACATAAGAGGATTGATATTTCATAGCAGTTCAGCACTCTTATTTGTTTTAACTACAAATATGTTTTAATACTTTGTTTCATTCCTAGAGAGCATCTTTTTGATATTCCAATGTAACTTTGGTTTGGATTTCTGTCTCATTTTCCCTCATGTGTTATGACACAGCACAGATGATTAAATGCTCCTCCCACCCAAGAAATTATATTGCCTGTTATGACCCCATCACAAAAAAAAAATAATAATGTACCATTTTGTAACTCACATTTTGGGTGGCAACTCTTACTGAGGACTACGATATCTTTTTACTTTTAATTCACTACTCCTTCCCTTTACTCTTGTCCTGGCATTTTCTTTCTGAGTTTGCCATCAACACGGTCTTACCTACTCTATCTTATCTAATACTTAATACTGATATTTTTACTGGATCTTTATGGTAGTAATAAATACAAGCTTGTGATAAAAGTCACCAATGTTTATGGTTTCAATGTTTTGACTGGATCTTTATGGTGGTAATAAACACAAGCATATAAGTTTTCAATATTTATGGCTCTCCTGTGGCCATTGAACATTCCACAAATGTAAACTTTGTTTTTTAAAGTCTTGAAACATCTTTGCTGTCCATCATTACAGAAATTGAGAACGTCTCAATGAATCTCCACCAAAAAATTTCCTACGGTTACTAATAAGGCACCAAAATAGATTTTGAGATTTAACTTACAATATAAGTAGGTTTGTTTCTCAAGTTAAACCAATGTTTTTTTGTTTTTGTTTCTTTTTATTTTTTTTTGTTGTTTGTTTCTTTTTTGTGTTGTTCTTGTTTTTTGTTTTTTTTTTTGTGTTGTTTTTGTTGTTTGTTTGTTTTAAACTTAGACATCTCACCAGAAAGCAATGATGTTTCATTTATAACCTTCCTTCCTTGATCATTGTAACAAAAAAAAAATGGTAGCCATAGAAAAATTTGGTGGACATGACTGTTCTCAAGTTCTGTAATGATGGAACAAAAAGACATTTAAAGAATTTATAAAAATGGCTCATCTGACTTAAATTACTAATTTGTAAATCACTTGAATTTGTTTCAAATTTAAGACAAAATGCATTTGCTGAATAAAGGCACATTTCTTCAACATGAAAACCAATAATGTTAAGATCAGCAGTAGTGTGAATGCAATTTGGTTAAAAAGTATTAACCTAATGTCCTCATCTTTGTTGTTATTTCATTGTGCCCTCCAACTTTTCTCTGGTGGCTGTTGATCAGTCGGGGAGTAGCCTTTAGGGAATTTCAAACTGAACCTACTATTTAATTTACAGTGTGTAGATAATGTAGATATCCAGTTGTGTTGTTTTTAGTACAGTTACTCATTGAGGGAATAAATCGATATTTCCTGACCCAAGAATCAAACTTAATTATGCCACCAAACTAATGCTTTAATCCACTAGTCTATTGTCCAATGGGACTGAACCTAAATGTTAGAGCTTTAAGTCTAATGTCTTGCTTGTTGCTGATGCTGCTACTGTCATGCTTAACCTTCTGTTTCTGCTGCCAATGAAGCATGCTGTAGTTTTTCTTTCTTTATTAATGGCTCCCAAATGGCATTTATTTTTATACTACACCTACTGCAGAGACAATCATTGCCTAGCATATACACTGATTCTTTTAGACATCTAATGTTTCAGTGTTCTATTATTTTTACTTAATTCCTCAGTTGTTGGTAGCTACCATTTATTCCTCCATACATGATCAGCCATACCTGATTCCCTGATTTACTCCTAACAATAGATTTTTGATGTTTCTACTTGCACAAACTGCTGTTATGCTTGCAGGTTAGTTATTTTGAAGGGTATGTTTATCATCTCCTATTGGTGTGTGTTTGGGTTACTACTTGGGACTGACACAATATTGTAGACCTTGGACAATCCTTTGCTATATGGAGGGTGGGAATTTAAGGTATTTTCCAGTGAAGGTTAGCTTATATGAAGGTCTCAAACTCATTCTCTCTGGGAATTATTATTAAATCCAAGAAGGCCAGCTGGTTTTTGGTTTCTTCTTCCATTGTGAACTGGATCAAAATTCTTATTAAGTTTGCATGGTCCAGCATCATTTGCACTACTTCCTGGTGAGGCTAAAATGTAAACATGCCATCTACCTATCTTAGCTATACAGTTTGCTTTAGTGGTGTTAATAAAGCCATTTCCTCAAAGTATTTTATAGCCAAGCTTTTCTCCTGCTAGTCTGTTGGAACCTAGTTGGAAAAAAGTTTGTCTGTGCATGGAATATCAACAGTTCCATCAGGTTATCTATTGCAATGCTAGTACATTCCTCAAAGGGAATGGTCCAATTCCAATTTGTTTTGAATCACCTTTTGTGTAAGAACCCTGGTAAACAACATAACTACATCCAACTTTACCATCATCTGATTGTTATAGATGGTAGCACCTTGAATAGACCTTTTTCTTGTTAGTGGGTTGACTATATCCGCCAGGAATCTGCTTAGCAGGTGATAAGCCGAGCACCTGCAGCTGACAATATATCTTGAGAATATTGGAATCTTAGAGAGACTGTATACATGGGGAAGTTTAGTATCACGCTCAGCCAGCTGTCTATAATTAAACAGGGTTAAATAGTCCTTGTTCTTATTTAGGATCTGTGATGGCTTCCTCTCAATTTTTAGAGTTGGGTCTTTTTTTTTTATCTTTCTATAGCTAGCATCCCCCCCCCAATTCGGCTTGTCAATTTCTCAGAATATTTCAGCTTGTCTATCATCACTTGAGCATTGCCTTTGCCTACTGGCAGTATGATGATAGCAGTGTCCCTCTGTAGGGTCTTGATGGATATCTTTTCTTCTTTTGTGAGATACAATTTGGACACAGTTTGTCCCTTTTTTTAGTGCTTATCTCAATTTCCATCTTAGCCTCATCTGTCTCTCTGAAGGTTACCAAGATCAACAAATATGTCAGAGGTCACAACAGCCAAAATGTTGTGATATTAATAACAATGATAAGGATATTAATCTGAATATAAATAATGTAAATAACCTCTCTTCTATTAAGCATTTCCTGTTTTGTCCATTATGAAACTATGGACATGTACATTTGTCATGAGTGACATCTAAAATCCAAAAGTAAACACCGATAAAGACTGGCTTTAATCAGATAAGATAAAAAAAAAACAAATATCATGAGAAATCTGATTTTCCTGAACTTTATGGGTGATGCATATAGTTATGCTACGAATCTGCTACCATAGTTTGAATAATAGAGGCATGATATTATAATAGACAGCAATTTGGAACGAGGAATCTGAGACCAGAATTTGAATTCCAGTTGAGTTTGTTACGTTAAATGCCATTTGAACTATTTCTGTTGGGAAAGATATGAATCCATCTCTTCTTCCCACTCCCACCTAAGGGTTAAATAATAGGACACCCTGGGTCCTATATCCTTTGTCAAAGATAAGGCCAATTCTGGATTCAATGTCTCAACTATGAGTTAAATAGCCTCATCAATCTGCAATTAGCCAAGTGTTGTAAGTACAGAAAGACATAGTCAATCAGGTAGGGGTTCCTCCAAGAAAAGTGAGGAGGACTGGGATTTGGGTCTGGTGTGCTTTCTGTGGCTCTGGGAAGAATAAAAAAAAAGATTGCATATAAATGCAGTCAGTGACAAATATAAAGAATAAAGCTACTATGTCAAGTCCTCTCTTTGCTGATATCATCAGTTCCCAACTAGTTATATATGCTAATAAAACCACTATTTACTCCTGTCTAAGTAGTAATACTGATAGGTCTGACAAAAAATAAAACTAATATCTGCTCTCAAAAATGACCTCCAATCAGTGGTTAAC